GCAGTTAAGTTCAGTGTAGGCAGACACTTGGCCTTGAAAATCCGAGATACAGGAAGAACAACCAGGTACAGAACTGGGCAAATTATGTATTCCTCCTCCTCCTTGTGTACACACACACACACACATGTACACGTACACGCACAGAACTTCATTGTATAGTTTATCATTTGCTGTAGACAGTGTTTTTCATTGATTGAGTCATTGAGAGTAGGGAAGTGGTGGAGGAAATAGACAAGAAAACAGGAGTGATCCAACCACTCTCACCAGTTTGGGTGCTCCAGTCAGGGGTCAAAGTGAAATCTATTTTCTTGCTACTTCAACTGTACTTTGCTACCTTTTCTTATAGGAGCTTGGAAAAAGAATGAACTCAATGGAAATGGTAGCAAATAAATAGCCTTTGGAGACTGGCTATTGGGCAAGGCTGGCCTGGAGTTGAGATGTGCTTTTGTCTTATTAGGAAGGATCTAAGTTCAAGGCAGTTGACAAAGGTGGGGGCTTTCAAATGGACCTGAGCCTATTTAAGTAGTAAAGCCTGATTGATGGTCAGCTGACTGTCCTGAATGGTTGCTAGAGCTCCGCAAAATCTTGCCCTACAGATAGCCTAATATAAGATAACGGGGAGGAAAGGTTGATACCCAGGCCTTATGGGAAGGGGAAGAAATTATAATTAGTTTGATAACTGAATTTAAATTTCTCAGTCCCAGCCTGAAATGATACAGCTATAGTAGCTAGGGAGAGACAAGAAATGAGTCTCAAAAATTAAAGCACCCCCCCCCCCAGTTTCTTCATCTGGTATCGAGCAACCTGAGATCCTAGTATAGACACTTTAGGGTCTTACTATACCTGGGATTCCTTCTTCCTGTAAGATAGTCTTCCCTTCATATATATGATCTGAATCCCAACTAAAAGCTACACATTCTATTTTTAATTTTTGTGCAACTATCCTATTCCCCCTTGGTGTTAATTTGGTGTAGGAGTATAAGATTATCATTGTCTCAGATCCTGGTCTTTCACCCCAGGCCTTGGTTTCTTGGGTTGAGTTCACATCTACATTACATTGTTATTGTTGGTTCAAAACTGACATGAGCTTGAAACCTACAGTTCCAGCCCCCACATTGAGGGAACCCCATATTGGTTCTACATCACAAAGTCTGGATAATGTGAAAAGCATGCTGGTTGGGAATAAGGAGGTTCATTGATGACCTCACTTGTTCAGTTCTGCTCTCACTGAGATAGAAAAGCTATCTTCTGTATAGTCTCAATTGCACAGAATACTGTTTGGCTTGAGCTTTGGTGTGTTGGTTTCTGATTGTAAAGCCTGAGATTCTCCTTCTAGCTCTAGAGGGGGAAGGGGAACCATCCAACTGTCTCATTAGCATGGAGAAAAGAAAACAGTAATTACTTGTGCCTCCCTTGATAATTTTTGCAGGATTGGTTCTTAGGGAAGGAGGAGGGGAAAACTGGAGGCAGCTTCAGCTGAGAAAGGAAAAATGTTCTTACTTAGTTCCCAGAATATGCAAAGGCAAGAATTTGCACATCTGTTATATTCTTAGGGCATTCCTCCAGGCAGGCTGGAGGCTACCTGGATTGAATTTCAATCTTTGTGGCATATATTATGTTCTTATTGTCTGATGTTGTTACTGGTTTTGCCAGGCATTCTGATACTCATCTTCGTTAGGGAGTAGGGAAGGATTTTGCTGGACGACTTTGTTACCTGACTGAATTTTTATGTTGTGAGATCTTCTTGAAGCAATACAGCATTTGGATTTATTATTCTAGTCAAGGTTAGGTGTCTTTGTGAATGGGAGGAGTCTTACAAGAACTGCAAGGCTAAGAAAAGCAGGACTCAGAGAGAAAGGGTTGAGGGCAGCTTTGAAAGTGGGAGGTTGGGGCAGCTGGACTAGAACTAGCAAATCCATATGCCAGCTTGTCTATGGACAATGACTGATTGCTCTGTTTTAATCTTTCATTCCCTGTGTGTGGGCAGTTGTGAGCCCAGTATTGATTATATAGCAGAAGTGGATTGGAGGAGGCCCTCTACTGGTGAGCATTGCTGGAAGGGAGCTTGGAGCTGTTCTCTCTCGCGCTGGTTACTCCTTCGTCCCCTTTCCTCAGGAAGATAGCTTCAGTACCTTCTTTCAAGTAGCCTTCGTTTAGACTTTGGAAATCATTTATTGTAAACAGCCAAGGGATCTGTAAAGACATGTTATTTAAATATTTGTTAACAAATACAGAAATGATTGTTTCTGTCAAGTTTATAGCCTTCTACCTCTTTTCCCTTTCTCCCTCCCTGGGCTTTTGCTTGATTATCCTACCTTTGCTGTCCAAGCTCCAGTGTTTCCATAATTTTATATTACTTTATAACTTATTTTCCCTTAGTCTCTACTTATATATTCCTGTTTCCTTTTACTTTTGTAGAATCTGTTCCCTATTTTTAGATGGAATGCTCTAAAATAAATAGCATGGCCTAAGGGAGGAGTAATTCTCTTCAGTCTTAACTTGCAGTTAAATAGGCCATAGTAATGTGGTTCCCAGAAACGGGTAGAATACACATCCAAGACACAGTAAACGCTAATTTCCAGAAAGGTCTCCATATTACTGTATAAGGTGCTTTGATCAGATAATTCAGGACAGGCCTACTTGTTAATAATCTAAACCTTTAGAATATAGTCTTCAGGGGCTGAAGAAATGGCTTAGTGATTAAGTGATGGAGAACACTTGCTGTTCTTCCAGAGTAGCACAGTAAGGCCCCTAGCACCCACATCCAGTGACTTACAACTACCTGTAACTGTTGGTTTAGTGTTTTTGATGTTTTCTGGCTTCCATGGGTACCTGCACACATTTGACATTCACATAAAACACATAAATAAAAGTAAGAAAAATAAATCATAATACTTTATGATTTTTATTTTTGTGTGTTAAGATTTATCTTATTTTTATTTGTGGGTATATGTTTGTTTGAGTGAGTGCCGTGTGTGTGTGTGTGTGTGTGTGTGTGTGTGTGTGTATCCACAGAGGTCAGAAGAGGGCCTTGGAGCTGCACTTGACAAGTGTTTATGTCTGATACAGGTTTTAGGAAACAAATGGGTCCCTCTGGAAAAACAGCAAGTAAATACTCTTAGGCACTCAGCCACCTCTCTAGCCCCCAAATAAAATCAGTCTTTAGTTGGTGGGGGGTGGGCAGTAAGATGACTCAGTTGGTAAGAGAACTTGCTGTCAAGTATGACAACCTGAGTTTAATACCTGGGGCCCACATGGTAAGGGAGAGAACTGACTCCTGCAAGTTGTCTTCCAACCTTCACACATGTACCATAGCATACTCATGTGCAAGATACCGCCACCCCCACTAAACAAGTAAATGGTTTAAGAAGAAATGTGGTCCAGTTGTGTTGTGGTTTGCAAGTGAAATGTCCCTTGTAAGTTCATGCATTTGACCAAAAATACATCTGGTGATGCTGTTTTGGAAGGGTGTAGACAACTTTTGTAACTGGAGCCTCCCTAGAGGAAGCAGGTTACTGTGGGAGAGCTTGAGGTTATATAGCCCAGCCCCTTTTCCTCCCCTCTGCTTCCTGCCACGGTGTGCTGTTATGCCCCCCTCACTCTCCATGTGAACTCTGTTATTTCTTTCTAATATTGACTTACTAATTTAGTTGTGTATGTGTGAGTGTGCATATAGGTCAGAGGACAAACCTTGGTAAGTCAGTTTTCCTCTTTCACCTTTTGGTTCCTGTGGATGAAACTCAGGTGGTCAGGCTCCATAAAGTGCCTTTATCTACTAAACCATTTTGTCTGTTCTGTTTCCCTTTGTCTGTCTCTCAGTCTATCTGTCTGTCTATCTGCTTTTTTAAAAAATGTTTTCTGTGTGAGAATGTTTTGCTCATATGTCTTTGTATCATATGTGTGCCGGGTTCCTGCTGGGCTTTAGACTGGAGGTATGGATGGTTGTGTGTCACCATGTGGGTGTTAGGAATTGGACCTTGGTCCTCTGCAAGAACAAGTGCTCTTAACCTCTGAGCCATCTCTTCAGCTCCCTGTATTCCATCTTAAAGCCAAAGTAGACTCTTCTTCCCATAACTGGCTTTTAAAAAGCAGATTTATTTTTATTTTATATGTCTTTGTCTGCATGCATGTATTGTACCACATATGTGCCTGATGGCCTGCAGAGGCCAGAAGAGGGCGTTGGATCACCTGGAATTGAAGTCATAGGTGGTTGTAAACTGCCTTGTGGGTGCCTGGAACTAAACACTGGTCCTCTGCAAGAACAGCAAGTGCTTTTAACTACTGAGCCTTCCCTTAAGTGACTTTGTCTGTATTTGTCACAGAAAAGTAAGAAAGTGGTTACAGAAAAGTAATGTGTCTTTGTGAACTCTGTGTAACAATAGGCTGATAGCTGACTAGGCATTGGTGGCAGCTTCTTTCTTTAATCCCAGCATTCAGGAGGCAGAGGCAGGTGGATCTTTGTGAGTTCAAGGCCAGTCTGGTTGTCTACAAAGGGTTCCAGGACAACCAGGACTGTTACACAGAGAAACTCTATCTCCAGAAACCAAAAACAAAGCACCAAAAAGCCAAAAACAGTAGATCAACAGCACCAGAGTCCAGGGTTCGGTGTGGTGCATGTCTATGCCTAACCAGGATTTGGAAGTGGAGGTAGGAGGATTAGGAGTTGAGGGCCATCTTTGGTTACATAGTGAATTGAAGCCCAGCCTGAATTACATGAGATCCTGTCTCAAAAAAATAAGATTTATATAATGGACCATTATTGCTGTTCTTTTAAAAAGTAAAGTCCTAGGGTTTTCCCACTCTGCTTTCATGACATCCTTTGAAAGGTTTTTCCTGGCCATTTTATCTGAAGTAGGTTCTATTCTTACTCCTTTTTTTTTTCTTTCATGACACTGTTTAAATTTTCTTTGTAGCACTCAACATGGTCTGAAATGATAGAAACCAGGATTCAAAATATGTAAGGGTTAAGACCCTTGACAGACCTCTTTTCTCTGTTACAGGTGAGCCCTGGTTCTAGAGACAGTTGCTTCTGACCCTGTAACCCTAAGGACAAAATAGCTGGTTAAACTCATTCTTGGTACAGGTAAGTGAGGATATTTGGGCAGATTTGGGAAACCTTGGGCAGATATAGGGTTTGGGGATTCCTTTCAACTTTTGTACTGATATCTTACAATTAACTATTTTTTTCTAGGTGTTGGATTATTTTAGAGATTGGAAAAGAGCATAGGTGGCCTGCTGGCCTGGGAGGAGGATTGAGGTCACTTTCTTGGAGTTGCCATAAGAATATTTGGGGTCATTTGCCAGGAAAAAAAACGCTTCCTCCTTCTTGCTTTTGCCAGTGCTGTGGGGGAGGGTAAATCTCAGGACCTAGAACCAATAGCTATCTTCTCATGAACTCTTTTGATGTATTCTAACAACCATGTGTGTGTGGGGGGGATCTTCTTGACTTAAGTCTCTTTGATCTACCAAGCCCCAGGTTAGCATCAGGAAGTCTCTGTCCTGCAGAATGTGATTATGGGTAGTAAGGATGAAGTGATCCAGTAGGGTTGTGTAAAGTGGATATTGGGCAGCTCAGATAGGAAGGGAAATCACCACATTGAGAATTTATTGTGCTTGCTCTATAGACAACTCCATTTTATAGATGAAGAAATTGAGGCTCAGGAAGTACAAATAATCTAGGAACCTATAAAGCTGATCTTAGAATACCATTATGATGGGACACTTTCATGAGCTGCTTGCTAGTTTTCCTGGAATTCTGCAGTTTCTTTCTTTCTTTTTTTTTTTCTTTTTAAAGAAATTTTAAGGAGACAGCCCTCTTCAGAAATTCAAGTTATTTAAGGAAACCCAACAGGACAGGGAAGAATTAAGGTTCCTTGTGACCAGCAGTATGATCAATGAGGGGATCAAAGTGTGTAGGACCTTAAGCAGGCAGTGGCTTATCTAACTGTGATTGGAAGAAGAAAATACCTAGAACTAAAGGGATCTCAGAAGAAGATGCACTGACAGGAGTTAGGGACCTAGACCGCTGGGTTGATGTTGGGAGGCAGGGTTTTTCTGTGTAACAGCCCTGACTGTCCTGGAACAAGTTTTGTAGGCCAGACTGGCTTCAAACTCAAGAGATCTGCCTGCCTCTGGCTCCCAAATCCTGGGGATTAAAGGCATGTTCCCCCACTGCCCTGAGATACCCGAGTTTTTAATCTTATCTCTCAATATGTGTCTTTGGGCAGTTTTTATCCCCCAATTTATAAAATTGTTGTAACTTCCTGCTTTTCTGCTGCATTTGCGTGCGTGTGTGTATGTGTGTTGATGACTGAACCCAGGATATTGCACTTGCCTGACGTGCACTCTACTACCAAGCTAAATCCCCAACCCCCTGGCATATGTCGCCATATGTGTGTACAACAATTCAATGATAATGTAGAGAATCAAATGAGAAATCTAAGTCAGATAACTTTTGCAAATTATTAAGTAGCATGAATGAAACATAAAAATGAGACTTATTTGCTACCCTACTCCCCAAAGTCAAAAGGGAGAGTTTTCCTTAGGGAATTTTTGCTATAAGTCTTTCCCCTATCTTTATCTCCCTTTTCTCCTGCAGGACCTACCCAGAGCAGTATTTTGTCATCCAGAACTAGATTCCAGGGCACAGGTGACAGAACCATGCAACACTGACAGTTGTAGTCTGCACCATATGCTTTGCAGAGTTAGGTTTAAATGTACTCAGGTGTCCAAGCTTCAAGGCCTCTGTTGTGGTGTAACTCTCACAGTAGCTCTTTTTAAGAATCCATTTTAGCACTAACCAGTTGTGTACATTGTTTCCTGTTATCTCAGCCTACTCCCACTGTTAGTGAAACAAAGGATACTTGTGTTGAAGTTGCATACCATACTGGAGATATGGTCATTCCAGTTTTTCTACTGTCTCGGTTTTTTCCCCTGGTCAATGACTGCTAGATAAATAAACTTGTATATTGCACACTTATATACAAGGAACCATTCACATTTTTAAGTAATAGTGAAATGTTTTCATAAGGCAGTAAATTATAAGCTTGGCACACAAGCAATGGAAAGATCACAATCTGTGTAACTTTAAACCACCAAGACAGACAGGTGTTAGTAAAAACCTAAAGATTCAGGATAGAAAGAAAAACTGGAACTTGCCAGCACTAAATTCAAGAGAACCATATGGGCATTATATTTCTCTGTGCCTCCTAAGTAGACAGAAGGGAAAAGCAAAACAGCCTAAGTCAAATATAATTGTTTATCTTTAAGCTGGCCTGGTTATTTCCTGAATCAAGTTAACTTATACATAAATTTATTTCATTTTCATAGCAGCTTGGGAGATATGTGGTGATACTCGTGTTTTATAAATTACTGAGACTTAGAGAAGGCATGTAGGCATTGATTGGAAGAGCTAATCTTAGAATGTAATGGAATCTGGCTGCAGAGAACCAATCTTTTTTGTTATACGTGGAATTGAGTTTCTAAACTGTTGTCTTTTTCAGCCTTTTGGATCAATAGCTCTTCTTTTTTTATTTATCCTACTATATGAATTTTCTGTTTTGAAGACATTATTATTCATTTATTTAGTACTTACTGGTATTTTCTATGTACTATGCATGCTTTAGGTTTTGAGATCTAGCAGTACATAAAATAGTTTGATTTCATAGTATATTTTCTAGTGGAAGAAAGCAAAAGAATGAATAAATGTGAAGAAAAATAATGTAGGTGAAGGGAATAAGGAGAACTACAGATTAAGAAGGTCTGTCTGAGAAAATAAGGATGCTGCAGAAGCAAGGTCACAAGTCCTGAAACGGAAGCTTGGTTATGTTTGAAGAAACCAACATCGGCCTTAGTGTCTAGAAAGCAAGCAAGAGACATTAGACTATGGAGAAGTTGTCTTAAAGAATACATAGGGACTTTATGTAAGGCTTTTGAGTAAAATAGGTAGAGGGATGTCGAGATTTGCCTTCCTTTAAAAAAGAAGTTCCTCTGGCTGATTACTCCAGTTGTACCTCTCACTCTGTGTAGTATGGTGTTGGAAAGAACTGATGAGAGCCTTACCGTGTCCATTTATTGTACAATGCATTATTCAGTTATTCTGTTTGTGAGTGACTTATTAAGCTAAGAAAAGTCCCTTGTACTCCCAAGTTTATTGAGGTTTAATTATGACTGGTTAGATTTTGTTGCTAATGTGTTTTTTACTCTTTTCTTTTTTTTAAAATTTATTTATTTATTAAGGATTTCTGCCTCCTCCCCGCCACCGCCTTTCATTTCCCTCCCCCTCCCCCATCAAGTCCTTCTCCCTCATCCGCTTGAAGAGCAATCAGGGCTACCTGACCTGTGGGAAGTCCAAGGATCGCCCACCTCCATCCAGGTCTTTATTCTGTTAGTATGGTATTTTATTGATTTTCATATGCTAAACTAACCTTGTATCCTAGAATAAATCTCACTTTGTGGTAATGTATAATTTTATTTTTATGCTTTTGCTTTTTCGAGATGGTTTCTCTGTGTAGCTTTGGAGTCTGTTTTGGAACTCACTCTGTAGACCAGTCTAGCCTCAAACTCATAAAGATTCACCTGACTGCCGGGATTAAAGGTGTGTGCCAGATATTAAATTTGATTGTAGTATTTTTGTGATGTCTTTGTTTGGCGTAGGTATTAGTAACAGTGGCCTCAAAGGCTAAATGAAAGTAGAATCATACTCTTTTCTATAGTCTGAATTATAGTCCATAATAAAGAATTAGTATTATTTCTTTAGAAGTTTGATAGAATTTACCACTCAAGCCAAGTCCCTCTGTGTGCTGTGATTACCATTAATGAATAAAGAAACTGCTTTGGACCTATAGCAGAGCAGAACTTAGCTAGACAGGGAAAACTAAGCTGAATGCTGGGAAAAAGAAGGGCTGAGTCAGAGACCGGCCATGGAGCCGCTTCCAGAGATAGACATGCTGAAACTTTGCTGATAGGCCACAACCTCATGGCTAGGCTGAGGAGTTAACCTCTTTGTATAAAGTGATTTTATGGGGAATTGGATTAAAATGTGCAGGAAAGTTTTACAAGGTAGGAGAGACAAAAAGATTGGAATTCCTCATCAGAAACACAAGTTTTACAATATTTGATAGAAAAGATTTAATTCACAGCATACATGGAAGTCAGAGAAACTTTTGGAGTTGGTTCTTTCCTTTTACCTTCTAGATCTTGGAGATTGAATTTAATAAGACAAGACACCTTTACACACTGAGTTGTCTTACTAACCCTCTTTGATTGCTAACTCTTTAGATAGCATGAGTAACATGTTTTATCATATCACCTTCATACAGATACCACTTTATTTTGTTTTCACCCTCTACTGCTCTCTTGTGCATTTCCCTTTTCCCTCTAGAGTAATACTTAATGTATGTCTACTGTATGTTTGTGGTAGCTACTTTAATAGACTATCTCCCTAATCTTTCTGAAAACCCATTAAGCTCTTAATAGCTCCAGAGGGGAAAGCTCAGACGCAGTGAAGAAAATGGATGCAGTGGCCACATCATGTCTAAAACAGCTCTGGTTTGAACTCTGACTTCTTGACCCCAGAGACTAAGCTCTTTCCCAACAACCATACTACCTTTCTGGTCCCTGGCCACATTGTTTCTGCAAGAATAGAGTGTTTAAAAGTGCCCAAGAAAGGGCAGGCATTGGGTAGCCTGAGAACTGGAAATACCTCCCATGCCCTTAGTTGTTTTCTCAGGTCTCTGCTGTACCCTCTTTTAAACTACCTTCCCCAGAACGCGGATCTGGGTCCTAGAGATCCAAGAATCAAAAGGCCTTTGATATGGAAGAGTGTCTAGTAAAACATGTACTGTCCTTTTCAAAGTTGAGAGGGGGAATATTTCAGGTAAATAAGCCTCCCTTGTGTGCCTGTCACTGAAGTGCAGGGAAAAAAAAAACCCCACAGTCTGTCACTATGAAGTTAATATCAAGCTTAATGAACCTCCTTCAGGGAGAGAGGGAGTTGAGACCTGCCACAGATTTTAGGAATAAGATTGTTTCAGATTTAGGTAGGCACTCAGATCTGTATTCACTTTGGTGTTTACAAAGTCA